TGCAGGAGTTGTCCCCTGGTGGTCAGTGTGCTCCCACAGCCGACCTCCCGTGGTCCCTCCCCCGACCGGCTGGCCCAAATTGGCCTGATTGCTGGCCAGGCTGAGGGACCACACCCATGCATGAACTCATGCACCGGACCTCTAGTATATAAAAAAGGTTAAAACACGGAATCATTTGGGGGTCTAGAATGGATTAATTCAATTTATATTATTTTTTTAAAAAAATATATTTTATTGATTTCTTACAGAGAGGAAGGGAGAGGAATAGTTAGAAACATTGATGAGAGAGAAACATCGATCAGCTGCCTCCTGCACACTCCCTACTGGGTATGTGCCTGCAACCAAGGTACATGCCCTTGACCGGAATCGAACCTGGGATCCTTGAGTCCACAGGCTGATGCTCTGTCCATTGAGCCAAACCGGTTAGGGCAATTTATATGATTTCTAATGGGAAAAAATGATTTGGTTTTCAAACAAATTGCTTCACGAAATGAGATTCCATTGCATTTAGAAAGTATAGAGGAGAGAGAAAGGCAAAGGTAATGTGCCTGAGGCGGAGAAGAGGAGAATGGGAAAAGCGAGGTTGTGCATCAGGTTGACCATAATCTTTTATTTTAAACAGTTTGATTTTTAGAGAGAGAGGAAGGGAGAGGGAGAGAGAGGAAAAAAATGGATGTGAGAGCGTGACATGGATCAGTGTGACATGGATCTCTCTACCAGGGATCAAGCCTGAAACCCAGACATGTGCCCTGACCAGGAATTGAACCAACAATCTTTTAGTGCACGGGATGACGGCACCAAACTGAGCCACATCCGCTACGGCTTGACCGTAATCTTTTTTTTTTTAAATATATTTTATTGATTTTTTACAGAGAGGAAGGGAGAGGGACAGAGAGTTAGAAACATCGATGAGAGAGAAACATCCATCAGCTGCCTCCTGCACACCCCCTACTGGGGATGTGCCGGCAACCAAGGTACATGCCCTTGACTGGAATCGAACCTGGGACCCTTCTGTCCGCAGGCCAACGCTCTATCCACTGAGCTAAACCAGTCAGTGCTTGACTGTAATCTTTATATCCAGCCTCCTCTGGCCGAACTTTAAGGACATTTTTCTGGTTTTCACTATTATAATTAATGCAGGGATGGACATCTATGAGGAGCCAGCTATGAGGCTGTCTTTCATGTTGTTTACTTAGATCCTTAGAAGATAATTCCTCCTTCCCTCCTTCCCTTCTTCCATCAACATTTATTGAGCACCTATTGAATGCTAAACCCTGAGCTGGGCACTAGGGACATAAGGGGAAATAATAGACACAGATGCCTTTTTTGATGGAACTCACCATCTAGACTGGTGTTTCTAGAACTTTCCAGACCATGGCTCTTTCCGTGTTCTTCATCTGTGCCATCCGATATGGGAGCCATCAGTCCCACTTGGCTCTTGAACACTTGGAAATGAGGCTATTGCAACTGAAGAACTAAATTTTAAATAATTTTATTGGCTTTATTTAAAATCCTCACCAGAGGATATGTTTTTATTAATTTTAGTGAGAGAGGGAAACATTGATTGGTTGCTTCCTGGACTGGGGATTGAACCCTCAACCTAGGTATGTGCTTTGGGAATCGAATCTATAACCTTTCTGGTGAATAGGATGACTCTCCAACTAACTGAGTCACCCAGCCAGGGCAAAAATTGTTTTCTACACCCTATTTTTAAAAAAATGTTTTCATTGATTTTAGAAAGAGAGGAAGGGAGAGGGATAGATAGAAACATTGATGAGAGAGAAACATAAATTGGCTGCCTCCTGCACGCCCCCTACTGAGGATTGAGCCCACAACCTGGGCATGTACCCTATCTGGGAATCAAACTCATGACTTCTTGGTTCATGGGTTGACGCTCAACCACTGAGCAACACCGGCTGGGCGGCCAGGACAAATTTTATTGACTTTTAATCAATTCATTTATACTTAATAAGTAGCCATTTGGGGTAATGGTTCCATATTGGACAGCTAGGGGCTGGAATAATGGCTCCCTAGTGGGAGCATTTTTAAGACACATTAATTCCTGCGGTCAACTTATTTTCCAGACAGGTTGAGCTTCTCAAGTCAGGAGAGAGTGAGGGAAGGCCAGAAGTCTGTGCTGGGTGTCACTCAAAGGCTCAGTGAACCTCCCTCCACCCTCACAGAAGCCGTCTACTGAGTCAGGAATTATCTTTATCCTATTTGTTATGCATCCATCAATTCATCAGACCACATGGGAGACAGCTGGGGACATGGTGGCAAGAGAGTCTGGGTCCCCGCCCTGGGAATTGGGTGAAATATGGGGAAGACAGATGATTAACAAGGAAACAGCTCAATAAAATGCTACAAGGTGGCAAGTTCTGACGGAAATAAATAGGGTATAGGAATGGGAGTGCATGAAGGAGGGACTTTGTCGGGCGGGTGGTCAGGGAGGGCTCTCTGGAGGGGTGACATCTGAGAGGATGCCTAAAGATGAGGGGCCAGCCATGTGGCTATTTGGGGACAGGGCACTTCAGGCAGGAGGCATAGCTCATGCAAAAGCCTTGAGGTAGGAATGAATCTGGCATGGCCAGTGTGGCTGGGACCGAGAAAGCAAGGGGAAAAGTGGTAGGAAGTGAGGGGGTAAAAATAGGCCAGTGGCACCCTAGCTGGTTTGACTCAGTGGATAGAGCATCGGCCTGCGGACTGAAGGGTCCCGGGTTCGATTCCAGTCAAGGGCACATGCCTGGGTTGCGGGTTCGATTCCCAGTAGGGGTGTGCAGGAGGCAGCCGATCAATGATTCTCTCTCATCATTGATGTTTCTATCTCTCTCTCCCTCTTCCTTCCTCTCCGAAATAAAATATATATGTTTAAAAAAAAATAATGGGCCAGTGGCTGGACCTTGCAGGGCCTTTGGAAGGGGAGGAGAAAGGGTGACTTCTGAGATGTTGGGAAGTTTACAGCAGCGCCTTTGTCTTTGCAGAGTCCCCTTTGGCCGGTGGGGGAACTTGGTGAGGGCAGGGGCAGGCCACATTTGGATGGGAATTGAGCCCCCTCCCCACCTCCTTCGCCACCCCCTTCACAGTGTCAGCCTGTGTTCCCTTTGGTGCAGGTGGAGCTGGGATTTCTGGTGCAGCTGCAGCTTTTGGGCCTTTTCAGCCCAGGGGAAGAAGGGCAGGATGGGGAGAGAAACTGGGGAAGGAGGCTGTAGCAGGCCTCTTTCTTATCCAGTGTCTAAAGAAGTCACAAGGAAATGAGAAAGAACCGGCCAGCTTGTGAACTTTGGGAACCAGGTGCGCAGCC